ACCTTTTTCGAAATCAAATTAATTTTAACTCTTGAGGAATATAAAACTTATATTTACTTATATTCGATAACTCGGTGTTTTATAATTTACAAAATTGTTTTTCGGCTGGTATTCTATTTAAGCTAATGTATTTTATAAACTTTGAATGCAGCGGAATTTTAAATTTTCTAGAGTTTTAATAATTCGGAATGTTGTCAATCTGACTGGTTGACCGGGGTTATCTGAGTGATCCGAACGGAAATGTAGCCAATGTAATTATTGTCAAGGAATTCAAAAAGTAACTTGCTCTTTAACAAGTTATATACATTTAATACTTCTTACATAACACTTAATGTATGTCAAATAATAGTAAATTCTATATGATAAAATACACACATTAAAACATTTAAATATCATATTTATGAAAAAAATTAAACTGTAACCCATGAACTGTAACATTACAAAAGAACGACAATTGATCTGTCTTCTAAGTCTTTTAAGTCATAAGTAAGAAATTAGTTGTCGGTGAGGTAAATTTTTTTAGGTAACTGGCGGTGGAGGAAATTTAAATTATATAATTTAAATTCAAACACAACCTTTTTATTCTAAATAAGAATAATTCTTCTTGAAAATATTTATTGTTTTTATTTATTAAAATATTTAAATATTGATTACTAAAATAAAACAAAAAATTGCTTATTTAATGGGAAATTATTTATTTTTGTTTATAAAGTAATTTTTTTTTTTTTTAATTCTATAAAATATTAAAATCAAACTGTTTTTTATTTGTTTCAACTTAAATTATTATTTATTTATACACTTTCTCAAAATTTATCGATATTAAAGGAACAAAAACATCTTTTTTTTTTTTTAATTTTTTAATATTTTTGGACTTACTAATTATATCTGATATTCCTATATTTTTTTATCTTTAATCTAAGTTTAAACGAATTATATTTAAATAAATAATTTTTTCTTTTTATGTTATTCTAATTACATATATATAAAAAATTATTGTTTGTTTTATAATATTCATATGACAAGAACGTAATTATTGATAAATGTTGAGGTGTATAAATAAATAATAGTTTAAGCTGAAACAAGTTAAAGAACAGTTTTTTTTTAATATTTTATAGAATTAAAAAAAAAAAAAAGTACTTTATAAAGAAAAATCAATAATTTCTCATTAAATAAGCGATTTTTTGTTTTATTTTAGTAATCAATATTTGTATATTTTAATAAATAAAAACAATAAATATTTTCAAGAAGAATTATTCTTATTCAGAATATAAAGGTTGTTTGAATTTAGATTATATAATTTAAATTTCCTCCACCGCCAGTTATATCTAAAAAAATTTACCTTACCGACAACTAATTTCTTACTTATAACTTAGAAGACTTGGAAGACAGATCAATTGTCGTTCTTTTGTAATGTTTCATGGGTTACAGTTTAATTTTTTTCATAAATATGATATTTAAATGTTTTAATGTGTGTATTTTATTATATAGAATTTACTATTATTTGACATATATTAAGTGTTATGTATGAAGTATTAAATGTATATAACTTGTTAGAGAGCAAGTTACTTTTTGAATTCCTTTACAATTATTACATTGGCTACATTTCCGTTCGGATCACTCAGATGACCCCACTGCGAGTTGAACGCCCTACCGCGTTCGAACGGCCGAATTAAAAGAACTCAATAAATTTACTATAGGCAATTTTGAGCTATACAACAAGGAGTACAAAATTGATATTGGAGCTTTGTAAGTTTGTTCAATTTCTAATTATGTACCTATTTTGTACCTATGCTCTTATTTTTTTTTTTACATTTCAATAATATTGGGAAAGTAGGGTGTTTTTAAAATTCATCAAGAATTCACCAGCACAGTAGCTAAGTAGCTACTAGGCTGTGGATATAAAAACTTTCGCAAATCGTTTGTGTAAGTTCATCATTTTAATAATTTAGTGCATATAATTAGCGTAAATATAATAATATCTATCTTATGAGCTTTCTTCAGAGATAGTCTGTTTTGAATAAAATCAAATGCAGATATTTCTAAAAAAGTGTGCGGAGAAAAGGTACTCGACTTACCGAGTATTCATTCTCGGAGGATAAGACTCCCTAATCTCACTTATCTTTAATTTGTATTAGTTATATTTTACCTCTTGAAAATAATAAACTATTTCTAGTGAAATAATATACTGTTCAAACGTTGATATAGGGGCTTGCATCTATCGTGGTATCTACTGACTTATGAGTTGTTGTGGCAACAATTGTTATTGTTAGTCGTATGAGAACACATGAACGCACAGACAAATGAGTTCGAAAATTCAAATGCCACTACTTCATTAATTTTATGCTTACACATATTTTCGAGATATCGTCCTATTTTAGATTTAATAAAGATAGTTATTAAAATTATATATAAATTAAAAAATTTTTAATAATTATGACGGTAATCCAAAATTTATTTTTAATCTGTGCTGACTATGCATACCATGATCCTAAAAAAAAAAAAAAATCTGGAAATCAGTTGACCGCGCAGGCTAACCCTAGAACTTCCCGCTAAACTTGAATTTGAAGCGCCTTAAAATGTGTTTTTTGGTTGATATTTGAGCTTGAAAAGCTCAAAGCACCATTTTTCATATTTTGAGCTCTTCGAGCTTAAAATGTACTAATACACAGCCGTAACTTTTGAATGCGTCATTCGATTTTCATTTTTAAAAAAGCATTCGACGCAGTTTTTTAAGCACAAAAAATGTATACGTAATTTTCTTATGATTTTTTCGAACGCTTTAAAGTTATTTTTAAAAAACATAAAAATTCAAATTTTTTTTTTTGGTTTTCTTTTTTAAATTTCTTCGAAACGGCTCGATGAATTAATTCTCAAATCTTATTAGATCTAAGATTTGATAAACCCTTTCGAATGACGTGTTGTAAAATTCAATCGGTTGATTCATTTTTGAGAAACTGTACGACAAAAATTTATTTACACACACACACACACACACACACACACACACACACACACGCGCGCGCGCGCGCGCGCGCGGCCGGACATCTCGGCGGGAATAGTCAGAATGGCTTCCTGGGATTTCAATACGTGGAGATCCGATGAAAACTCGACTTTCGAAAATCGGACCGAAATCAATAACTTCCTTTTATTGGAAAATTTTCAATTTTCTTAGCGGGAAGTTGAAAAATAAAATTTTCTGAAATTTAAATAGATTAATATTTATTTCTTCATATGTTATACTAATACCAATCGTAAAACATTCAATTGTAAACACAATTTTTTATTGGAAATTATTGAAATTAAAATTATTATAGCACACAAACATAATTTGAAAGTATAGTAATTTTATTTAACTTGAAAAGAATAAGGACTTAATAGTAATGACATTACATGACCGTTTTAAAAAAATCGATAAGAATGGTGCTAATCAGGTAATCTGAAATTTAAATCAATAATATGACTTATAAATTTTGAAAATGCAGACATTATCTGTCTTCAAAAGATGAAAAAACGAAAAAATAGTTGACCCTGCTGGTTACCACTAGAACAACTTAAAAATCTAAAAAATCTATTTATCTTTTTGTTTATAAGCTCAAGAGTGAAAATAAAGATTTGAGTACATTTTGTGATCTCATAATCTGTTAAAATCTTGCAATCATATAAAAAACACCTGAGACAAAATCTTTCACCACATCTAAGTAGATAACCATACATTAAAATGTTTTTGATCTTATATCTTCATCTATATCTATGTATATCTGAAAATGGTCAGTTTAAAAGACAGATTGCGAAGCGGCTGTGGTTGTGCATTACTCTCGACACGTCAAGATCAAGCAATTTTTTTTTAAATGTAATGTTGGATTTATTTTATATGTTAATGTATTAGTTCCTGAACTAATCTAAGACTCATACATATGCTTCACAGGTAAATTTTCATTATGTCTTTAAGATCAGTAAGAAAATTAAGTAACTTATTTAAAGAAGCTATTCCTCAAGTATGCATCATTGGTTCTGGTCCAGCTGGCTTTTATGCTTGTCAACAATTACTCAAGGTATTCAGCAAGCTTATTTACTAAAATATTTAGGTCAATTTGTGTAGTGATTCTGTTTGAATGACTAATCATTAATTTTAAGTACTTATTGACGGTAAAAAAGTATTAGTGTGAATTAAAAATAACTAATAATTGAAAAAAATAAAAAAAAAATGTTAATGGAAGAGCTCTAAGACCGGACCGAACTTGACAAAAAAAAATTGTTAAAAAGACGGTAGATTGTAGTGAAAAACTCTTAATAAGTATTGATCTTTTGAAGATAATACTTTTTTATAAGCCGCCGAGTTAATTGCTTTTGATATATAAACAATTTTTTAATAATTTATGTGTAAGTGTGATTTTTTTAGTTGATTTAAGGGTGTAGTCTAGTTCGAAGGCTAAAAACATAGGCTGTTTTTGGAAATTTCTCGTGAGCTTGTTACAAAAGATGTATTTATAAAAGTTGTTAGAGATGATGAATGAAGTCTTAAATTACAAAAATTACAATTTTTTTCAGTTTCTTTACAAAAACAAATCGTACTCAAACGGAACGCCATAATTTGGAGGCATGTCGGCTCCTACACGATATACCGACAACGGCTTATGTGAATCAAAAAAATCGAAGTGTTTTAGATTTGGTATGACAATGGCTACAAAATAGACTATTGATATTAATTTTGAACAATTGTTGTTAACTTCATGTAACAAAAACCAAAAACATTAAAAAACATTTTTTTTTTCGTTGTTATTTGTAAGAAAAAAATAGTAAAAATCAATATTTTAACATGATGGTATTCTATTTTGTGATTATGTATATGTAGAATATGTGATTAAAGTTTCAGAAATTCAACCCACGGGTTCCGGAGAAATCGTGTTAGCCACCCATGAAAACGTAGTTTTGAGAAAAACGCGTATTAAGTTTCTTTAAATAAAAAATCTTACCAAAATTCAATTTGCGGTCCTTTGCTCGAAACAGGGAAGACATCCCCGGGAATTTTTAGACACATATACATTCGAAAAATATAAACAAAGAAATCGAATTTTCGAAAGTGACCAATTAGATTACACCCTTAAACAAATAAGATTTAGCCTTTAAATAACACTTAGCCTTTTTTTTTTGTTTTCTTGGAAAGCATTTGATATGAAGATCTGAAGCTTTCAGAATATATTGCAAAAATATAAAATAGCTTTACATGAACAAAACTGCTTTCGGTGGATTATTGAATCGTTCGATCTATCATAATTTTATTATAAAAATTGAACAAACCTAACAATAACTATAGCAATACGTAACATCAAAACTGCAATCAAAATCACGTTTTATTAGTTTTCTGTATTTTATCAATTAATTTTATTTTTAATTTATGTTTTTGATGCAATATTTGATGTGAAAAGAAAAATAATAACGAATTTTTCAAAATAAGTTAAATATCCTTCAATAATTCGCTTAGAGCAGTTTAAGTATCCTGATTTTTGCATCATTTATTTAAATTATTTTAGTTATCTGAAAATATACATATTGATATATTGGAACGCTTACCAGTGCCGTATGGTCTAGTTCGTTTTGGTGTTGCCCCTGATCATCCTGAAGTAAAAAATGTCATCAATACTTTTGAGAAAATTGCAAAAAATTCTCGAGTTAGGTTTATGGGAAACATCAATGTAGGTCAAGATATATCAGTGGAAGAATTAAAAGACAATTATCATGCTGTTTTGTTGGTAATTATTAACGCAAATAGAAATAATTATTTTGTTAATGTTGAAATTGAAAACATATCATTTACAGGCATATGGCTCCGATCAAGATAAATTACTTGGGATCGTTGGTGAACAATTAAGTAATGTTATTTCTGCACGAAAGTTTGTAGGATGGTATAACGGAGTACCATCCGACAAAGACCTGAAAATCAATTTGAACGTGGAAGAAGCTGTGATATTTGGGCAAGGAAATGTCGCATTAGACATCGCTCGAATTTTATTAACTCCTATTGATGATTTAAAAGTAAATAGTATTTTTAAAGCTTGTTTATTAAAAATGATCTTTAGATAATTGAAAATAGATTGATCTACCTCAAGATATAAAAATCGGCTAAATGTTTGGAAGTAGGGTCCACTTCATTTTTAACAATTAAATTTCGATAGAGATTCTAATTATTAAATTAGTCAAAAATGAATTTTGTAATTAGTCTTAAAGCTTTTAATGTTAGAAAAAATTTTATGTCGACCGAAAATAATTATTAAAATGTTTCCATATAAGATTATTGATTTTTAGTTTGTTTTTTTTTTGTATTCTATGCATAAAAACAAAAATTTGAAAATAAATTTTTTTAAATGTCAATTATTTTATTCATAAATTTTTCAAGTTTATTTGAATCTAAAAATTGACATTTAAAATTTTCTTTATTATTCTTTTTTGATGAACTTTGAAAAAAACATATGATTGCTAAAAAAATGTTGAATATCACTCTTATGAGTTAAAATATTATGAACTCTACTTCCAAATAATTACAAAAAATAGTTCTTGACTAAAAGTCAAAATAAAAAAAAAAAAAAAAAAAAATAAGAACATATACGTGGTTCGTTCCACACGGAATCACAGTTTTGAAAGTTATATTCTTTTATTAAACTCATGTTAAATATTGTATGTTTTAAACGACGCATAATGATCCATTTACTTGGAAAAAAAAGATTGACATTTTTAGTAGGTGCATAAATTTTTTAGATTTTATCAGACCTTATGAATATATCTTTCATTTGAAAATCTGGTTCAAGTACATAATAGTTTATATCAATAACGACGGTTTTATAACGAAAAGGGAAGCAGATTTAAGGTAAAAGACCCCATTAGTGGCACTTTTTCTTTCAATGAAAAAATGTTCTACTTGGAATAAAAATTAAAAATTTTTTTGATCTAAAGGTCTTAAAGATTAGAAATAATATCAAAAATCAAAATCAAAGAAAGTGTCAGTAGTGAGGTCCCCGCCACTAATGGGGGGTCTTTTACCCTATCTACTTTCAAATAAATTTAATACTTCAGATATTAAAATATGATATTAATTAATTATATCTTTCAGAAAACAGATATAACATCGTATGCATTAGAAGAATTATCCAAAAGTAAAGTTAAAAAAGTATGGTTAGTTGGTCGAAGAGGACCCTTGCAAGCTGCTTTTACTACTGCTGAATTACGTGAAATTTTAAAATTGCAGAATTGTACAACTATGTGGCGATCAACTGATTTTGAAAAAGTTAAAGAATATCTTCCTCAGTTGTCACGTCCAAAAAAACGATTGATGGAGCTTATGCTTAATAATTTATCTCCCACAACTTTTGATGATAATAATAAAATCAATAATAAAAAACTATTTGCACCAATTTTTTACAGGGGTCCAAAACAAATAATTGGAAGAGACTCTGTTGAAAAAGTTGTACTTAGTATAAACGATGTTGTTGGTCTCGATTTTCTTACTGCAGATGCAATACCCACATGCGACGAAGAAGAAATATCATGTGGTTTAGTTTTTAGAAGTATCGGATCTAAATCGGTACAGATTAATGAGAGTATACCTTTTGATCCATGCAGGGGTCGTGTGATTAATTCTCATGGTAAAGTTCAAAATAACCTTTATGCGGCCGGATGGGCTGCTACAGGACCAACAGGAGTTATTCTCTCAACCATGACGAATGCATTCCAAACTGGAAATTTGATAAAACAAGAACTCAATGTAAGTGATCATAAAGCTGGTACGAAAGAACTGATTAAGATCTTAGAAAAAAAAAATATACCTATTGTTACGTTTGAAAATTGGGAAAAAATTGACAAAGCTGAACGTGATCGCGGAAAATTATTAGGAAAACCTCGAGAAAAAATCGTTGATGTTGCCCAAATGTTAAAAGTTGCATTTAGCTGAACTAAGTTTAAAAAAATTTTACAATAAAAGAAATTCTCAAAAATATTTGAAGTTATACATAGTTTTTTTTATTTTTACATCCATCAACTCCATGAAAGAAAAATATCTCGGGATGACATAAATTATAACGTCGGTAGGTTCATTGTTTCCGGTGTATTAATAATCAGTCGTCGACATATTTTCAATATATTGAGAAACTAATGTATAACTAATGTGTCGGAAAACAAAGGTTTTATAAGTTGCCCATCGTTTACAATAGTTTTTCCGTCTTCTGGAGACTTACGCACTGACTGTCACGTTGACTTAGTAAAAAATACAGTATATCTATGGACTTGTAATCTCGAATAATTTAGAATGAATATTTTTATCCCGTAGACTCAGAACGAATAGTTTTTAATTTTGATAAATAATCAATTATTCAATTGTTTTTTGCTTTGCTATTGGTATCACTCATCGGTAACAATATAATAGTAATAATTAAATGATTTCGTTTACTTTAAGTGTATTAATGAATTATGAGAATGATTTATCAACGAATTTAGTCGTGGGTAATTATAAATTGTATATTGATATACTTCTAAGAAATTGTATTGTATAGAAATAATTATATCTAATTATATCTAATTATATATGATTAGATCTGGCCAATTTTCAGATCTAATTATATATAAGTGATTATATATAACTATATATGATTAGGCAAATTCATTTTTTCCCGGGACATCAAGATTTCAACTTAATAACTGTATGAAGATTTTATAAATGACTTTAATACAATCCTTATTCAATTGTGATACTTATAGGTTTACAAATATCCGGTTTTGTAATAAATAAAAGATTTTCTTCCTTCTATAACCTGATTTTGAGGAATTGAATCCATTCAATTCTCTTCGTCTGGTTATGTCGGCAGCAGGATTCTAAGATCCATCGAATCCATATCGTTTGAAGTTCTTCATTTTTGAATACTTTTGCTTTTATCCTGGCTGCCATCTAATAAAAAATCAAAATTAATGTTAGCTCTTTACAAATTCCTAAATTGTATGACGTTACTTGATTTATATTAACTATCCTGTATTATCTTAAATATAAAATATTAATTGAGTACTAATTTATTGTCTCATAAATATATTTTCGTGAAATTGTTCGCATAAAGTTATGCTATGGATTATTTTTAAGAATATCCAATAGCGGCTACTCTTCTCAATGACTTTCAACTAAACAGTTGCTTGCCCATTTTTTTCATTAAAATATAATTAACTATTTAACTATATAAGTTTCTTAATTTAATTTTGAATGTAAGTCAATTACTTATAGGAAGTTGGCATAATACTTTGCCGCATAAGCCTCATAACCTGCTTAACCAAATGATACAAATCGAATCGAAACTATAATAGTATAGAGTTCAATAAAATATTTAATGAAATTTAAAAATAAGTATTTGATAAATGAATAACGTAAGGACTACCAATTAAAATAATGGGCGCACGCAAGCTTTGACATACCTTAATATTACGCTCATTGATTGGTGGGTTGGTACGGTAAATATGTTCGCAGCCCGCGATTATCTGGCTTCCGCATATTGCATCTTCATTATTGCTTGTTTGAAGACCACTTCATGACGTTTGGACAACTCAAAATACTTTATTGCGAGTATGAAGAGAGTTACGTAATAGTAATAAATATATTGCAATGGAAGATAATGTAAAATATATGAAAGGCGAACTCTATTCAGAAAATTAATAGTTATAGCAGAAAATCATTTATTATTAAAAGTACAAGATCTCTATTATGAGTTATATGATATTATAATTTAGGAAGTGAGAATCTGTCCGATGAGGCACGGTACACGGGTCTATGCATACACTACACCCGTGCAGATATTTCATACGCACGGGGCACGGGTACGAGCACGGATACAGTGTATGATAGACCCGTGCCCTGTGCCTCATCGGACGAATTCTCACATTCAATAATTTAATGAAGAATTTTGCTAGTGAATTTAAATTTCAATTAAATTGTATGGAAAAACAAAAAAAAAAAGTAACTTTCTTGAGACCTAAGCTTTCCTGAATTGAATATTTTCTAGGTTAAAGTCAAATTTTTTTTTGTGCAATGTTTTGATGAAATAGAACACATCTGCTCCTTAAGCTCGAGTGGGTTCAATACTCCGTTACGTATTGGCAAGAATGGATATATCCATTTCACTATATAGTGAGCCCTTAATTTTCTCTCCGGTTATTACTTATCTTGTCTCAATTCCACACCGAGTCGTTTTTCGAGGTACGTGTAATAACGAAATGCCTTGCGGCTTGAGTTATGTTACTCTTTAAAAAATTTGACTATTTTAGTGCTGGTTACTAAGTATATTAAACGGCGAGCATTCGGTCGCGAATTCATAATAAGAGAAAATATTGTTATTCTCTTTTATAAATATTATTTTTCATTAATTTTTTCTGTGGATATGTAACCGAGTATTAATGAACTTTTTAATGTACTTATTTTGGTTTTGTTACGTTATTCCAGTTTGAAGTATCATTTTTTCAAATTTCAAGGTTAGTAATTCAATATTTTGACGGAGGGGAGGGTCGCTTAAGCAGAATAGTTAGACGCGAGACGAGGATCGGTATGAGCAAGGATGTACGCATTATGTTCATCTCATGTCATCCTAGTATGCATATCAGGTAATCCATAGGTGTGTACTTAGCCCCCGGGTATTTTCGAACGTTAATACTTGAGTAATTCATTTTTATAAAATATCATTAAAGTTTAGACACAAGTAGTGTCAAAAATATATTTTTATTACTAAATTAAAACGTTTTTTGTTTCCATAAAGTAGAGTCTCTATAAAGAAGTTTTAAATACAAGGTTATGCAAACGTACCGTTTAAGAACTTCGAAGAAGTTCGTGAACACGTTTTTCATTAGCCTCAAAAACATGCAAAATTTTGAAAAAACCCTAATGGTAAAAAGTGGCTGATTTTGTATTGAATGCTCCATATATACATATATATATTTTTTTTAATTTATTATGTCAACGCATTCATAGAAGTCTTGACGGTTTAATATTAATGTAATGTAGAAGGTAAATAATTAAATACGGTGAATATCGATATTATTTATTATGTCATTATTCGGAAAGTTACTCAATAAAGAAAAAGTTTAAACAGATATGATGTAGAATTTGTTCAGTATTTTCTTTTTCACTTTTCGCGCACGAAACACATATTTTTTGACGGCGCAACATTAAGACTTATTTTGTGTACCATATCAGTGCGCAGTTTTAATCGTGGGTACTCTTTAGTACCTTGGTGGCATCGAATCTGCCGGACCTGGGAAGCTAAAATATTAAAAAAATAGAATGTATCGCAGCTCTAAACGATAAAAGGATGACTTATATCTCATAATGAATGAAAAATCATAAGTATAAGATGTAACGTTTACGTTAAAGATAATTAAAAAACTATTATAATATAACCCACGCAAACTACTAAATTTTATACTTTTACGTTCTGTTAAAAACTAAAAACTTCATTCTAGACACTAGTTAAAAGTTTTTGATAATTATTTTATCAATACGCCATTTATAAGATTTTTATGGTATTTTCGTCACACAATATTGGGATGATGCATTGGACACTTGATCAATAGTGATATCAAAATCCGCTCGCTTAGACTTACAAAACTTACTATTGAAAACTCATTAAAAAAATGACATGGATATTAACTTAATCGAAGCAGAGAAAGTTATCGATAGTACGACGTTACACCTTATGCTTTACAAGACTTATTAGCGTGGCTCCTCGTATTCTTGCAAATTTTTTTTTTTCAAATCTTAACAGTCATCATAACTAATTAAAATATAAAATTCTTTTAACCTACCGATTGCCAGTATTGCGAGAGGGACCATATGCATCGGGCCTATCATATGCTTCCGTATACCTGTATATTACAACACATGATAGTAATTTACACGATTAAATAAAGAAAAATAGTAGGTCTGGGAATTACGCTTATTTTTAAGATACTGATGGCAACTTCTAAATAAGTCTCTCTATTAAACTTATTATTGAGAAGACAAATTTCAAAATGATGATGAAAATTATTCAAGCTATAATTGTTCACTATAATTTAAACATTCATAAGCCACCCTAAGTATTAAAAAAAAAAAAAAACAAACAAAAATGAAAAAAATAATAAATTTTTCCATCAGCTAAGAAACGTTATGCTCTTTATTGCGATTCTTTGATCTGCCCAATACTTTGTTACTTACGTAAAACGTCGCTAGGTGAGCTGTGTGAAACGCTAACAAAGTAACGGAAAATTTTTTTTTTATTTAAAAAAAAAGGTATTTGAATGTTCCTAATTCCCTTCGAAAGAAAATGGTGATTGACAATTACTCAATCGAGAAGTTGTTGTTAATTATGTACTTCTCGAAAAACGTATTGACCCGGGTCTTACTTTTTAATAAAAGAAGAGAGTCAGATTGACACCGTACACTGATAGAAAAACAATCTTGATTCAAGAAACATTTTTTCTTCAAAAGTTGATTTTTGTTTCAAAATTTCTAGCTGTCAATTCAAGAAATAAACTCTTGAGACTAGATGTAGATATATTTCATTCAAAAATTTTTGTCGCTTGGTTCAAGATAGACGATAACATGATCCAAGATATTACCAACTTGTGTTAACGATGGCTTTTTTTTTGAGTCATCAATGTACTATGTGAATTTCTATAAATTTATGTAATAATATTTAATTATAATAAATTATATTTAATTATAATATTACTAGATTGCACGCCTTATAAGCGAAGCGTTGAGGTTGTACTCTACTCTTGACATTTCAAAAAAAGCAGTTTTCTCGAAACTGAAATTGATTTTTTGTTATTTATATCGCACTTACAGGTTAATATGAGTACAATTATATCAATTCAAATAATTTTTCAGGCACATAAAATATATTTCAATAACAATTTTTTTGTTTAACATAGTAAATAATAACATTAAACATAATCTTTTCTGGACGTCCGTGTATGGATGGGTGTATGTGGCAGGGAAATTGGTCGAAAAAATGATCGTACCGGAATCATTTTTTTTTTATTATCTAAAGTAACACACGACGGATTTTCTCAATTAATATGAGCGTTCAATTCACTGTCGTTAAATTATTATTTATAAAAAACTAATATATGCCTGTGGATTTTTTTTGTATATCTATTTTTTTATAGTATTTTTTTTCCTCTCCTTCGAGTTATGGCGCCACTAAACCATAGCAGAGTTTTCTGTTTTTTATTATTTTGCTTTTTATCTTTTATTTTAATCAATTTTATTGTGAAAAATGAGATTATGAGGCGTGCACTTTTGGATTTTCCAAACTATTTTCACAATTATGTTAAATCGAAAATCTATAAAAAAATTTTTTTATTTACTTCAATAACATCTTGAATAAAGAAATTATTATTTAAACCAAAAATTTAAAGTTTTTTAAACGATAATGTTATTTTCGTTGAAAAACTTGAATGTATTGATTGAAGACAATATAGTTTTGAGTAAAGATGAAAGACTTATCCAACGGAGACATACATTTCTTAAGCCAAGAAAATCTAAACCAAGACAAGAAATTCTTGAAGCAAAATAATCATTTGTCTTCCAAAATAAATTCTTAGATCAAGAAAATATCTCTTGAGTCAACATAAATTTTTTATCAGTGTATTTAATATTACAGCGCGGATAGATTTTTATTTTTGCGATTTTTAAGCGATAGCTACAGATGAATTACGTACCCAAGCGTCACAAATTTTTTTTTGTTAATGTTTTGTTGAATTCAAGTTGACGATTATTAATTTTTTAACTTCTTGCTGAGTAAAATCTATCAAAAAGTCAACATTTTTTTTTGTGACGCTTGGGTACTATTGAATTTATTGTTAAGTGATTTATTACTTTTTAAAATCGAATTACGGATTTAGATTGTTCAAGCACAACAAAATACAACTGTTGTTAAATTATGAAGCTATAAAAAAAAAAGAGAACGTCGATCAAATATAGTAGAAAATTGTGATTACGTTCCCGAAACTTCGGGTAATTCAATTTACCAGAGAGGTTTTCGGAGATGAACTATTTTATAAATTCACTTCTCAATGTATCATCGTAGACTATATCAGAACGTGAGCGTAAAATTATATTACGATAGAAAAGCGATGCCTAACAATCACGTAGTCAATCAATTTTTTTGTCATGATTGTGGAGCTGCCCATTTTCTTTTACGTTTTGCTTCACAAAATGGTATAAATACTTTTCAAATTGAATTGACATTTAGAATTATTTTAAAATATGTAAGTTACAAACTGATCATACTACACACACGCCTTACACCAAGACATTACTTTTTCAGTACTCATAATAATGATAGACCTATAGTAATAAGTTTAATTTCTTATTCATATCACGAATATTTAATTTTATGAGTTATCTAGAGGTTGCCAGATAATTGATTACAAAAAAGCTATTGAGAGTTTATTAAAATTTGGTATAGAATCTTACCCGCCACTCATGGGTTGATATACTCCACTATTAACTGAATTGACCGGTCTTCTACTAAACATATCGGTTTGTGGTCCTGGTCCAGAATTATAACTAGGTGTTCCGGAAGCGTAACTTTGGACGCCACTTAGAGGTCTATGAAGATTAAGATATTAAAAAAAAAATTAGAAAAACGGTTCACCCTAAAGGCCATCCCTGCAACTTCCCGCTCATTTTGTACTTAAACGCTTCAAACTACACATTACGTTTTTGAGCTCTTCGAGCTCAAAAATATTGTTTTTGTGTCAATTTGAGCTCTTCGAGCTCAAAACTCTAATAGCAGTTTAGAGACACAATTTTTTTGAATTTTCAAACGGCAATAACTTTTGAATGAATGAACCGATTTTCAGGTGGTTGGCGGCAATCGACGCAGTTTTTTGAGCTCTATAAAAAAAGTAGCTGTTTTAAGCTTTTGAGCTCTTCGAGCTCAAAAGTCTTATCAAAATTTGATAAAACACAATTTTTTTAATTTTCAAACTGCTATAACTTTTGAATGAATGGACCGATTTTCACACGGTCGGCGGCAATCGACGCAGTTTCTCTGAAGCTCCATGAAAAATTTTCAAGTTTAAATCGATCGAGCCATAAATTTCGAAGTTATTACAAAAAAACACTTTTTTCGATTTTTTTTCGACAACGATATCTCACGAACGCATCAACCGATTCTGACGTTTTTGGTGGCGTTCCATGGGGGGTTTCAAGGTTAAGAGCTGATTAGTTTTTGAGACCGATTGGTTCAGCCAATTCGAAGATATTTAAAAAAAATGAAAAAAAAAAACAACTTTTTTTGCATTTTCTCGAAATCTACCGGTCCGAATCGGTTCAAATTTTCAGGAAATCTAAGTTTAGTGAAGCCCTTTCGAATGACACCAACCGCGAGGAAATCGGTCAAGTCGTTCAAAAGTTACAAGAGGTTTTCACACACACACACACACACACACACACACACACACACACACACACACACACACACGCGCGCACGCACGCACACACACACACACACACACACACAGCCGCACGGACACCATCGCGGGAATAGTCAGGGAAGCTTACTGTGACCTTATAACGTCGAGCTCAAAAAAATAGCTTTTGTATGCTTTTGAGCTCCTTGAGCTCAAAAGTTTGATAGAAGATTAAGAATACACTATTTTTTGAAATTTCAAATCACAATAACTTTTGAATGAATTAACCGATTTTCACGCGGTTGGTGGCATTTGACGCAGTTTTTCAAGTTTCATGAAGAATCTTCAAGTTTAAATTGATAGAGCGAAAAATTCCCGAGCGTAATTCCGAAAAAACACTTTTTTTGGTTTTTTTTCGTCAACGATAACTCACGAACGAATCAACCGATTTTGACCGGACTGGCAGCGATCGACGTGGTTTTTTGTTATCAAGAGCTGATTAGTTTTTGGAATTGATCGGTAGATCCGTTTAAAAGTTATTCCAAAAAAACCACTTTTGAAAAAAGTTTTTTTTGTAGTTTTTTTGCGATTTCTCAAAATTTACTGGTCCGAATCGTTCCAAAGTATACTCAAAATCTAAGTTTGGTCAAACCCTTTTGAATGGCACCAACCGCGATTAAATCGGTCAAGCCGTTCAAAAGTTATGAGGTTTACATACATCCACACACACACACGCACATACATACAGACACCATCGCGGGAACAGTCAGGGAAGCTTCCTAAGACCTCGAAACGTCGAGATTCGATGAAAACTCGATTTTGGTAAAACGGGGTGAAAACAATAACTTCCCGATTCTTGAAAATCTTCGATTTTCTCAGCGGGAAGTTAAAAATGTTTTTAAGTAAAATATACAATTAACATTGAAGATCGTAAGTATTTAATTAAATAAATATCCGTAATTACATTACCCTGCATCCCCATATCCAGATCCATATCCACCCGTTGTAATTGCATTACCATTTCTCATCGGGCCTGTGTTACGATCATAATCATTTCTGGAAGTATAAGGGTCAGCAGCTCTACCAAAATTGTCTACTCGTCCGTAATCTGTCATACCTGACATATTACGACTGAAATCACCGCTCATTGCACCTCCACTAGGAACTAAAAATTGATTAAAACATTATTATTTTCATATTTATAAAACTACTTAACCCTTTAGAGTCTGACCTTGAAACCCCACTCTTGGGTCTTACTATGGATTTGCGCTCTCCCCACTACTCTCACGCGAAGACGTTTCAAGATCCTCTGACTCTAAAGGGTTAAATTAGCTTGAGCTTAAATTAATAAAAATATAACTTTACAGTTGCCATAATCTGATCGAGATCCAAAATCACTATTGCGACCATAATCGTTATTTCTTCCATAATCAGCTCCTCCAGGGCCATAGCCAACGGCGCCAGTATTTGGACCATATCCACTGACCATGTTAGGCGCTGATCCATACCCTCCTATACCTCCACCGCCCACGTTTTGTCCATAATTTCCACGATCAGAATATCCACCGCTTGAATAATCACTACCGCGTCCGCCAAAATCATTATTGTTTCGATTGCCATAATCACCATATCCTCCACCAACACCACCTGTAGAAAATCCGTCGTAACCAGCACGTGGGATTGGAAAAACTGTAAATATTGCGAGCTTCCCAATAATTTGGGCTTATCAAACTAACATAATAAATAACAAAACTATTGCATACATTCTATTTTTTTTTTCCTTAATATGAATCTATCGTTAATAATATACCTCCACGATGGCTATAAGGACCAGGTCGATTGTCGCGACCACCGTCTCGGCCACTTCTTCCGCCTCTCATTGGCCCGCCTCTTCGATCATCTCTGCGACCAACAGGACCACCCCCTCGTGACTTGCCTGTCGATTGTTCGACATTTATCGTGGCACCTTTGAAATTTGTATTATGCAAAGCTTTGATTGCTGCAGCTGCATCTTCTTCTCGAGCCATATGAACAAATCCGTAACGATTCATCACATCGCATTCGGTAACTTCACCGAAACGAAGAAATAATTGACGCAACTCATCGTTCCGGCAATTTTCGGGTAGACGACCAACGAAAATTTTTGTTTTTCTCTGAAATTTATGATAAATAGTAGGAATTAGAGAAATTAGTCTTTAATGAAATAATACATTAGGTATATCATCTTTTACAATAAAAATTTGTAGAAAAAATTTTTAAGTTTACTTCATCATCTAAGAAATGTATAACTATAATACTTATTACGAGTTCTAATCCCCATGCATGAGTAGAATTCACGTGATACTAAGTATTGTCAGAACTTTTCAGAGAATTACTGAAGTGAAATGACTATTGAATAATTCTTTTGATGTTATATAAACTAGTAAACAGTCTAACTTCATTAGATATATGGATAAAAGGGTGCTTCATTTTTAGACGATATTTTTTTTTCTCTGAGCTACCTGAAAATCTAATACTTCATAAAAAATAAAAAATTATGCCGCCAGGTAAAAGGTTTTAAGTGCAATAGCGGCTTAGCTCATTTAAAAATTTAATTTCCTATTTAAATAACATAGAAAAAATTTTTTTTTCGGTTTCAACTTGATTTTTCGACGTGAAAAAAAATTTTTTGGAGAAAAACGCGTGTAGAACTTTTGTAGAGCATAAAATTTGCTACAAAAAGTTTCTCTGCGTAAATCCCCCCCGACCAACAGCTTTTGAGTTATACAGCAGCAAAGATGAATGTTTATTATATTTCACATCAAATCATTTCTAAATCAAGATTTATTGTTTTCACATCAAATAATATATACATTAGGGTGATTTAAAAAAACTTTTTAATTTTTTTTTTTAACTCTTACCCTCTCAAATGTTTCTATTTGATATAAAAAAAATCCTCACCAAAGATGAGCCCTATAGCTCAACTTTAAGGGAACGCTATTTTTATTTTAGTTTCCCTTTTACTTAACATGGGAAAAATTCTTGTTTGTTTTAAATTGAATTTACACATAATTTACGCAATTTTTTACAAAAAACGATTTTATATTCTTAAAGTAGAGTCTTTGAGCTTTACAAAACTGTAAGACAACGTATGATTATCTCTACAAAAAGACTAGTTACAGCCATTTAAAAATGACTAAATTTCGAAATTTAAAGAAATAGTTGGCAGATGGATCATTCCATGTCAAATCGACAAATACTTGAAATCGATCCCTTTCGATTTGGACAAATTTTGGTCAGGAGTTTTTGTTTATCATAAAACGAAGTTCTGCCAAAGGAAAAACAATAAAAAAATTTTTTTCAAAAGATATGCAAATTCAAAATTTCGTAATTTTTTCAGTTTTTCAATTTTGTTTTTGTAATATCTCGAACGTTAGTGTAAATACAGAAATGGCCTTTTGCTTGTTTGAAAAGGGACACTTAGGGTTATTAAAAAAAATATTTTTGAAAAATTTTCAAATATGCCAAATTTCGAATTTTTGAAAATCGTTAAAAACGACGATCGAAGTTAAAATTTTAGCTCAATTTTTTTTGTATAAGACATTGTTGTAGGTACTACTCATCTTAAAAGATTCTGAAATATTTAGAAAGGTGTTTTTTTTTCAAAAAGGTCAATTTTTAAATTTCAAAAGAAAAAAATTTTTTTCGTTTTTTGCAAATTTTAAAAAAGGTAAAGTTATGCAGATACATAGTATTATGATTATGAGGATTAAAAGTTGAATGCATCACGTGGAATTATTCAATAATAAATTAATTTCAACTTTTTTTTTATTTTCCATACGTTAACGATGACCCTAAGATCATGTCCAAAAAATAAAATAAAGTTGAAATTAATTTATTATTAAATATTTCCACGTGATGCATTCAATTTCCAATCCTTAAAATTACAATACTATGTATCTGCATAACTTTACCTAATTTAAAAGTTACAAAAAACGAAAGAAAATTTTTTTTTTCGAAATTTAAAAATTGATATTTTTGAAAAAAAAAAAAAAAACACCCCTTCTAAATATTTCAGAATTTTCTAAGATGAGTACAATGTAATATACAAAAAAAATTGAACTAATATTTTAACTTCGATCATCATTTTTAACGATTTCCAAAAATTGAAAATTTGGCATTTTTGAAAATTTTCTTCCAAAATATTTTTTTTCAATAACACTAAGTGTCCCCTACTCAACAAACAAAAGGCTATTCCTGAATCTACAATAGCGTTCGAGATATTACAAAAAAAAAAAAATTAAAAAACTGAAAAAATGGCGAAATTTTGAATTTTGGTTTAGAAATGATTTGATGTGAAATATAATAAACATTCATCTTCGCAGCTGTATAACTCAAAAGCTGTTGGTCGGGGGGGATTTACGCAGAGGAACTTTTTGTAGCAAATTTTATGCTCTACGAAAGTTATACACGCGTTTTTGCCAAGAAAAAATTTTTCACGTCAAAAAATCAAGTTGAAACCGATAAAAAAATTTTTTCTGTGTTATTTAAATAGAAAATTGAATTTTTAAATGAGCTAAGCCGTTATTGCACTTAAAGCCTTCTACCCGGTGGCATAATTTTTTATTTTTTATAAAGTATCAGATTTTCAGGTAACTCAGAGAAAAAAAAATATCGCCTAAAAATGAAGCACCCTAATGGATAATATTTAATAGTTTAAACTTCATGTTTTATTTTTTCTACTCTATCTGACGAATGTAACAGATTTTCTGCTTATATGATTGATGAAGGTGTTTCTTTGATTTCGACCATATACTCTTGTAATGAAAAAAGACATGGTGTCTAATCAAGAATTGATTTTATATTGCTCAAATCGCATGTCGATAGTTTACAAATTGAGAAAATATCGAAAATATTAAAGGATTGAGCGTTATTAATAAAACTAAATTATAGATTAGGAAAAATGTATAGGTGTACATTCTTAAATGTGCTACAAGTAGCTGCAGCACAGCAAAATGTAATGGGCTACAGCTGCTTGTAGTGAAGGTGTATGAACGCTTGATCATTCTTACCGGTAAATTCGAGGAAACCATTTTCTGAAAAAGACAAAAATAACAGTGATATTAGATTTTATGGACATTAAGATCTTATTTAAAACTATAACTTTTAACATGAAGATCATGTCTTTAGCTCGATATTTTACTCTTAACAAATTAACGTTTTTAAACAGGAATTAAAATATTAACTTTAAATTACGTATTTTTTATAAAATTTTCTAATAAGATTTATATTTCAATATGAATATTACTTAAAAGATTAATTTCAGTCTTACAGAGAATGTGAGTCCTATAAATATTGAAATAATTTTTCTTCAATGACCGAACCTTGAAATTTATGAGATAAGCTATTCAATTTATGCTTATTAGTTTTTAATTAAAAAAAAAAATCAGACCAAAAATATTGCTGAAAAATTTGCATAAATAGGCATATATTGAATAACTTGAAAAGTGGTGAGCATACTAAAAATATAGAATTCACTTTCGCAACCGTAAAGTACCTCAAAAAAATTTGAAAATTTATATTTTTAAGGATGTCAAATTGATGAGCTTGATATACTCTAAGAATGTTTAGAATGTTCTTTTATGTCAATAATCTGTAGTTGCTTAGATTTTAAAAAATATCATTTGTTTAGAAATATGTTTCTTGTAAACTTTGTACATCACTTTAATTTTGTGATGTTTTCTTCAAAATGAGCTATTCATTATGATTAGTAATATTGACATGGAATAATACAATACTAGCATAACCAGTCTATTAAGTCAATAATTTTTATTCTGATGACTATATTTCACAAATTATAATAATCTAAATAACTAAATAATGGCATCTTTTTTAATATCTTATAAAAATATAAAAAAAAATTTTAATCGTAAAAAATAATCAAAATTTACGTATTGATAAAAACTTTCTCGTCTGATATGTTAAATTCTTAGATTTCAACACGAGACTTCTCAACCCATATTTAGTTATTGAAAAATTGAAGACGGTGAAAAAAATGCATTTTCAGTTGTTTCATTTCTTAAATAATGTTTTCAATAAATTTTCATTATTTGAAGTAAATAATGTAATTTTTGCAAAAACTTACCAAAGATTTTTGTTCTTCTTTTTATTTTACATTCTTTAATTTGCTAACCTTATTTGATACGTTAAAAGAAAAAAAACTTCCGAAAATACACTTCATAGTTTCAAGCTTTTATATGTATGAATGTATTGCATTTACTAAGATTTGGTAAAACGTCATAATTGCTTATTGTTGGTAGGTTGATCATTAACATCACCAAATGAAATATTTTAGTTAATTAATATTATATTTTAAATAATAACATTTATAAACAACAATACTCACGTTCTAAAAGTTTGTTCTCAAAAGTCCAAACTGATGTGAAATAGAATAGAAATGTATTATATTTTAATTATCTTAATACTAACAGTGAAACAATAAAAAAAAATGGCGATACTTATGTATTTTTTCTAGGGGAAAGAATGCGAAGAATCACTGATGATCTCAAACTTGTTATACTCGATGATATGATAGGTGTCGTCGTTGATACATTGCGCGGCAAATTCACCATGATTTGAATTATTTAATTTGATTTACAATAAATCATAAATAATGCATTTTATAGCATATGATCGAATATTAAAATCATTTGATGGTCATTAGTTTATTTATAAAAAAATTTTTTTTAAATTAGTAGCCAAAAAAACTTTTTTTAAGGTTCCTCGATTATGAATTAGTCGAACTTTTTTTTTTAATTTCAACTTAAAACGTTTAGTATGGTTATTGATAGACAATTAG